AATTTATATTGACTATATTTTTTATATAATAATTTTATTAATAAAATATATTTTAAAAATTTAATATTTAATAATTTTTAGATAGTTATTACTAAATAAAATTATGAAATTTTAAAAATAAAAATTAGAAAGTATTAAATTTCTTTATATATTACTATAAAATATTAATCAAAATTATATTAATTTTAATATAATTAATAATTATTAAGCTTTTTTTATTTTTTTTTAAATTTATTATTTTTAAAAAATCGTATATTTATAAATAAAATAAAATATTTATGTTATTATTTTTAATTAAAAGATAATTAAAAGATTAATTTAAAAAGCCGATAAAATATTATTTAAATTAAAAAAATCTATATATATTTTAATATATTATACATATAAATATTTAAAAATAATTAATATAATAATTTTTATTAGTTGAAATACTAAAAAAAATAATTAATTATTTATTAATTTATATATAGACCCTGCTAAAAGTCTCTGAACACCATTTTTAGGTATAATTTTATATGAATAATATTATATAACTTTATAATACTGCGATCATATAACGTTTCAGACTTTGTTTACATAAGTTAAACTTAATAAATGCGCGTTTAGTTTGTTTATTTTAACTTTAAATTAAAATAAATTTTAATCTTCCAAAAATAACAAAAATGACTCAAGAATTAACAGCAGAACAACGCGGTATTATATTTTTTTGCCGATAGTTACTGAACTATTTCTGAGACTATCAGTTGTAGAGTGTCAACAGTATTTAACACTTTAAAAAGGATAGATAATACTGGAACCACTAAGTTAAAGTCTCGTTCTGGTCGATCACCTCTTATTGAATCTTCATAACAAAACTGACTTAAGTGATTTGTAACTAATGATAAAGGAAAAATTCGTCACTTATGCACTGCAGAATTTTAACAACTTTGGAAAAAAAAGATCAGCCAAGATGTTTCAGCTTACATTATTAGCTAGATACTTCATGCAGTTAGGCTAAATAATTATCTTGCTTGACGAAAATCTCTAATCTCACCAGCAAATATGGAGGCATGTCTTTTATGATGTTTAGATCACTAAAGCTGAACAAAGAATGATTTGGTCGAAAGTCATATAGAGTGACGAATTGACCTTTTCTTAATTTCAACAAAGCTAATGTAGTTAAGTGTAGCGAGAACCTCAGAAAAAGTGGAACATTTCTTGTATTTCTGCTACAGTGAAATACAGCCCTGGCCAAATGTTTTGGGGATGCTTTTCAAGATAAGGCTTAGAATTCATTGTTCCATTATTTGGAATAGCAAATGGTGCTTTACAAGTTATTATTCTTCATAAGCACGTTATGCCAACTATAAAATATGCATTTCTAAATGGTAATGATATATTCCAGAAGGATAATGCTCACCTCCATAAAACAAAAGTTGCAAAGAAATTTTATGCGAAAAATGATTTGCATATACTTCTATGGCTAACTCAAAGTCCAGACCTCAATCCAATTGAGAATCTGTAAGCTAATGTCAAGAAAAGTATTCGTAAAAGGAAAAAAAAAGCCTTCAAATCTTGCTGAACTCGACTGATATATTAAGAAGGCATGGTGAGAAATTCCTATACATACTATTGAAAATTAGTTGATAGTATATCACAGTGAATTTAGGCTGTAATTGAAGCAAATGGAGACCTGACCAAGTACTAATTACTTAGTACAAAATGTATAGTATATCATATATTAATAAATATATTAATAAACTTTTTTTTCAATAAACTTTAAATTTTGAGTTTTATATTGAGCTAAAAGGTGTTCAGGAACTTTTGACGGGGGTCTGTAAATTATAAAATTTAATTATTATAAATAAAGAATATATAAAATCTTATTAAAAAATACAATAAAAATAAATATTTTAATCTTAATTTATTTTTATTTTTATAATAAATAAGTTTAATAATAATATATTTACAAATTGTTATTAAAGCTATTGAATTATTATATATTTATTTAGTTGATTATTAAAAAATAAAATATATAATTATATTATTTTTTTTTTTATAATTATAGATTTTTTAAATATGATAATTTTGTTTTACAGAATGATTGTCAAACTTTCTTTTCAAATCAATAAAATCATTTCATGATCACATGTAATCAAAGCGTAGTTTTTTATACGCAGATACGATTTTAACAAATTTTGCATCGTTAATTTTATTGAATTGAATTGATCAGTTGAATAAGATAAAAAAATTGTTTTTTATAGGTTTACAATCAGAGTATGTAGCAAATAAACCATATGGGTCCTTTGCAATAGAAAGAGAAAAACTACCTTATAGTAGTTTTTGAGATAAATTGGTTTTTATGAAATAAACAAAGGAGGTAAGATGATACTAAAAATAAAATGCGCGATCAACTCATAAATTGCGAATATCGATCATTGCTCAAGTAAAGAATATAAGCAATATTCTTTACAATAGAAAAGGAAAATATCTAGAAAAATTGTTACCAAATTTGCTGAATTTGCTGATTAATACTACTTTTTTTTAGTGGAGACTTTTGTTAAAATAGATTTTAGAAGGTGGTTTTCATTTAATGATGAGTGATTTTTTTATTTTATTTTATTTTTTTTTAGGAACTTATTAATGTTTCTTTTCTTTTTTTTCTTTAACAATAGTCTTGGATTTTGATAAGGTAGAGGAGGGTTCAGCTTTCGTTTAAATGGTGAGTGAACTGAACTTTTTTTTTTTTATTTTAGAAATATTATTAAATCAACTCATGAGTTAAGTAGTTTTAAATCTATAAATAAATATGCGGTTTTTTATGAATTATTTGAATTATTTAAAAATTTTATTATGTAACCTGTCCTACTTTAATATACCAAAAATATTCCTCTAGCCACATTATATTAAATGTTCTCATTGGTTCATTTTTCATTTTTTCAGCTGTTTCCCCCCTTTCTATTGCAAAGGGCCCATATAATAATTTAAAGTTCAGGTAAAATATTTGTCTCAGGATAGTGAAATTTTATTTTATTTAAAAAAAAGTATACTTAAAAGAAATGGTAATAAAATTAATGTTCTATTGAATTTTTAATTCTTTAATGCACTCTAAATTAAATAATTAACAAATTTAAATTCAAAATTAACAAAATGTTTGATAACAACATTTAATTTCTTTAGAAATAATATCCCAAGAAAACTTTCTTCCATTTGCTCTTAGGTTAATGATTAGAAAACAATTGGAAAATGTATGCTATTTTGAAATTTTTTTTTTAAAAAAAGAAAAAAAAAAATTCCGCTTAGATCATATGATTTTTTTGTAAAACTTTAAATTTTTCTAAAGATAAAGTTCAGTGTAATAGCCGTTGTGGCATTTTCTAATCTCATTCAGAACGAATGGAAACAAACATGTGAAATTGTGAAAAACTGTCCATCCCATCATCTGCATCTATGATCAAGTGATGTTAATTTTTATTTAATTTTTTTTTTTAATACAAAGGAAATGTACGAACGCCATTGATAATAAAAAAAGAAGGAAATGTTTAAATATCAAACGAGGCCATACAACTAGTGTGGATTTTTTTTTTTTTTAAGATTACTGTATCTTTTGACGCGTTACGATATTACAAATTAGATATCACATGATTTTGGTCAAGGTGCCATGATGATGGATCGAGAACGATACATTTAAAGCGGGATTTGGCTGATGTCCTGATCCGATCTAAGAAGTGAATAAAGTTACATAATTAAATAATGCAAAGATGAGAAAATAGCATGTTTAAATGAGGAAAATACGGTATTTGTATAAAAATGGGATGTTAATAAAACTTTTAATGAGTTGTAGAACAAACAATTTCTTTATCCGTCATTGAAGTCGGAAAGATAACGAAACGATTTTCATTTTTCAACGAATTCGAACAACAGAATCTAAATTCTTTACGTTTGTCATTTTTACTTCTTTTCACAAACATTCGAATGTTCTAACTCATTGCATTCGAATATATTTATTATAATAAAAGTAAGGAATTCTTGAAGGTTGTGTAATTATTATCTTTGACAAAATCAATCTCGAAATAAAAAATTAATCAGCAATACGATTATTAATTATATTTATTTACATTTCAAAAAGGTGAACCACGGATAAGACAGAGAAAAAAAATAATGGGACCTCAACGCTTTATATTTTATTACTGTTAGGGGACTGTCCACAAATATGCTCATGAAACAATATAAAAAAGGATTGACAATTCTTCAAATTGTTTACCTCGAAAAAACGGGACTTTTTTTTTTTATTAGATTAAATGCATTTTTTGATTTAAATCACGGGACCACAAAATTTTCTTAATATCGATCGATTTTTCGATTAAACGAACACTTTTTTTTTTCCTACTTTTTGGCATCGGTTTCAAACTTTTATTTGTGCACCCACAAACCAGTTTTTTTTTTTTTTGAGCTGGCAAAAGGTTTATTTGTGTAAAAATATAAACCAATGTTACATTTAATTAACCGGTTTTATTTTTGTGACAAATAATGAAAAAATTTTTCATTATAAAATGAACCTCTGTAAACCCTTTCAAAAGAGCAAATTTTCATATTAAAAATGTAACCCTCTTAAATTCACAGATTTTGCACGTTCGTTCAAATAGAACGAACTCATAACGACACAATAATAACCCTTAACAAAAGGTCAAAAGTAAAATTGTAAAAAGTAGAAATGTAATATGTACCTTTGAATTTTGTCATTTCAAATAGTTCGAGTTTCATGTATTATAACTATCCGCGAACTGCTGGGAAAAAAGGATATCCGACCAAATGTTAGAAAGCAGATACTGCTGTGCAAGAGGAGTAATATTCGGCAAACAGAAATATCCGACCAACTGCTTGACAAAATGAGTCAAACAGGTCAGTCAAAAGTTTGGTTTCATTAACTCTCTATTTTATCAGTTTTAACGCTCAAACATTCACCACTTCAGGTTTTCACAATGCACCTATAACGAAAGAACTCTCAATTGAATAGGAGGATGCCATTAGTTGTGTATAATCTTGGAGTAAATGAACGACTATCCGGATCGCAATACGTAATAAATTATCAAGTTCTGAATTTGATTATTTGGTCGAATTTGTTTGACTATGTCAACGCGTATAGGCATTCTTTTTCGTATCGTCCGCGTTACCAACATTTCTAGCTTGCAATTGGCAAGCGATTTTGGACATTTATACTCGCAGGATCATACCATTTACTGAGCTTGTGGATGTATGTATTGTTTGAGCGTTATACCGGTGAGCTTATTTTAGTAGTTAAGCATTTTTAAAAACCTTTTTTACTGATTATAATTGACTAAATAATTCTTTTTATATTAGTTTCTTTAATTTCAATATCCATCCTCGATTGTCGCCGTTATATGCGGGCTTTATCATGACTTTCCTTTAGTGACAAGCCCTGAAATGAAAAAAAAAGGAAAAAAAAAATATATTCGAGAATGGTAAGTACTTGGAATAGAATGCCTTGGTTTCAAGGGTGCTAATGGTTTGACTGGGTACGTATATTTATTTGTATCCGTTGATTTTAAAAACAAAATTTAAATTAAATCATTTTTAATTAAATGTTAGGATTCAAATCGTAATTAACAAATTGTGAAAATTGCCGAAAGGGTTGCAAATTTTGATAAAAACAACGGAATTTTGCGCCCAAATCATTAAATATGTGGAATTTTTATTAATAGTTATCCAGGTATGAATTACAGATCCAAAGAATTTCGATTCTTTTGAAGTTTGAAATTTATTTTTATATATATATATATATATATAGTCTAAATTTTCATTTGCATTCACTTATATCTGATAGGAAAATCAGTTTTATTTATATGACGACGATGATGTGGGAACGTGGCAACACCAGCTCGCCTTCGATTGTTGAGGTAAGTTTCAATATCAACTTTTATTCTCGTTTTCTTTATTCGTTATATTAATCAAAACATCGATCGTGAATCACAGGGTACCCTAACTCCAACAGTATCGATCATACAATCGCCCACGGAAGCATCAACGCGTTAACCATCAGATACGGAAACCGAAACTACAAGTTTCTTGAAACCCATTACCGCATCTATCATCAATACTTAAATCGCATCATTATTTCGTGATGTCTCTCTTACATCAGCCCGGCAACTGGGCAAGAAGAATATCCGAATATAGCTGGGCAAAAAAGTATCCATAAAGAAATTGGAGTATATCTGGATAACGGCTGGTCAAAAAAAGGATCAGGGTGCTGCTGTGCAAATGGAGTATCTGGCGGATCCGGCGAGAATAAACTGTGGAACCAATGATCTTCCTCAATTAATAATAACAGTTTCATCATCTTGTCATTCACCGCTAGATGCTTTCAACAAAAAATAAAACAAATAAAAAATTTAATTATCTTTGAAATTGTTACTACATGATCATTGATCAATTGATATCTACTATTAATTTTATAATAAAAAATACTTTGTTTTAAAAATTACAATAAATCGAAAGCTTCACGTTTTTTTTGATTGAAATTTTTAGTAATAATTATTTCACGGGGAACTATGGTTTCACGGCTGCGCCGTGAAGATCATGATATTCCATATTTGCCTAAACATCTCTAATAAGAATTTCTTATTTTTATCTCTTGCACGAATCGATACCTTTACTATTAAATTATTAATTGCGCTACTCATTTTTTTTATCTTTAAACTATATTTTAAAAGGTTGCGAGAACTACAGTTTTTGGAAAAATGACAGTTTCAATAGTTCCTGTACTAACATTCATCTAAAATAAAAAAATAAAAAAATAATCTTATCAATTTATCATTCATTTTTTTACATCACTCGCTTCTCATTTCAACAGTTTTTAAATATTAAACTTAACATCAACTTTTTTATATATTAATTATTAGCTTGTTAAAAGGTGAATTTATTCGATCTCGTAAATTACGAAATTAATAATATCTATCGTTTGTAAAAAAAATATGGTAGATCGCATCTTAATCTATGAACAAGCAAATAGAAAACATGTAAGGTATGGTGACCTATGTATGTATGTATCGTTACCAATGTATAGCTAAGTATGGTAATATTTTCATTATTCGTATATAAATGTTAATTATATATATAGGACCTATGACGGATGTATCATACATCACCATGCATCCCATACATCGTAATCTAAAAATAATTGGATACAGAAAAGGAATCCTATAATGAGCGAAGGAGTATAAGGGCCGCTTCAAGTCCAATTTTACAAATCATTTACCATAATTTCTTAATTCAAGTGAAATTAATCTAAAAACAATAACAATTAACAAAGAATTAAAACAAACATTGATCGACAAAACTAAAAATAAACTAATAACCTTATGTTCATTTTCTAGTCTTAAATAGTTAGAACGAAATAAAGTACGGAAATCAAAAATTCAAATAAAGGTTCATAGTGGACTTGAATGGTTAGAGAAATAGGCAAAGCCTAGATAAATTCGGATTTCTATTAATAACGTGTTTAAACAAAATTGAAATTAAAAATTATTTGAAAAGCCTCAACTAAAAAGAGAAGCATTATTACTATAGAAAGTTAAATAATACGGAAAATTAAGTCCTTGATAACATGTATAAGAACTTCAACAAATTGAAATAGAACGAAAATAAACAAGCCTTGAAGAACAACAATCATTGAAATAAAAAATTCAAAAAGATTCAAAACAAAGTCTATACCTTTTTATTATCTTATTTCATAATGAAAGTCATATCTTATGATTACATCCCAACTCCAAAATTTCTTTCAGGCAGTATGAAAGAAATGATTGACATATCCTTAGAAAAAGAAAAACGTCGTATTGAAGCCCTTAAGCTTTTAAAAGAATCTACAGGGATTTTGGGATTATATATCACGGGAGTATGTGTCACTGGTAAGGGTAGTACGGAAAATATTACTAATACATTCACGGTGCTCGGTTCACTACTTGGTATTGTTGATACAAAATTATCATTCTACGAACGATATACAAATAGAAAAATTGAAAAAAGTATCCTCGAATTTGCTGTTAATGATATAAATGCCGAGATTAAAGCTATTTCTAGCGGGGTTGGTCGAATTAAAAACTATAATAATGATAACGATCGGAAACTTGAAGTAACAGTTTTAATTCATTCCTGCGAAAAGGTTTTAAATAAATTTGAAGATTCAAAACATATTTTTATAAACACCCGCTTATCATTACCCCATGCTTAATCGCTTTTTGTCAATTATACCTTACAATAATTGAGGTTGGCGTCATTGTCATGTCAGCATCTAATAATTATAATTATGAAAGACAAAAAATCAAAAAAGTAATTGAAGAATACAAAGTGAATTCTATAAATGACCGAACCGAAATGATTAAAATTAAGAAATCATCGAAATGCATTGGCTATGATAGTCGTATGATTAAAGAAGGTGTGATGACCTATATGGCATCCCTAAAGTTTTCCGAAACGTACAAGCAGATAACAGAGAATGATTTCATTCGTAATGTGGATGAGTTTAAGGATGCACTTTATAACGAGGAAAAGCCAGATCGAGTATATATTTGGGATCGTGCAGTCTGGGATAAAAAGCAAGGGTCTAAAAACAATTATAGTTATATTGACGTTGTACAAATTGAATATAAAAATTTTTTTGATAAGTTTATTAATCAAATTGAATAATTTTAACATTCAATTCGTATTGTTTAGACGCGAATTAATTTATATTTATTATTTTTCTTATATGTATTAAATTTATATTTATCATTTGTCTTATATGTATTATCAAATTAAATAAATTTTTGGTATATCTTTAAATATTAAATAACCAGTAGAATTTTCTCAAGGTAATTGTTGCTTTTTCAAATGTTTAACCTTCGAATTTTGGAAGCCTTAAATAAATAGATTTATCAGAAATAAGAATCAATTTGTGAAGAATTTTATTTTTTACCTTACAAGATAGCTAGTCATTTGATTTGTTATACAAATTACTGATTAAACTAATTCAATACCTAATAACCTATCTAACATGTAGATTTGCTTTGATGTTTTTTTAATTCACAAATATCACGAAATATTGCAAAAATTAATATATCGCCAAAGTTTAATAATTTTACATGAAATTTAAAAATTTAAACAAGAATTATAAACACATATTATCGCATATTTTATTTATTTGCACATACATATTTTGAGATTTACCACCAAATATTTCAGGACACCTTAATAATAATTAAAGTGTGCTATTATACGCATTGTATTTAGGGATTTTAACGGTTCGACCAGCCAGTTTCGGTCTGTTTTGAGGGTAAAATCGAACTGTAGACCGATTTATAGACCGATTTGACACTGGAGTCTAGACCGAAATTTTAGACCGGAGTTTATATTTATATATATTGTATAAATCTTAAAAGACGAAATTAAAAAATAATTGCGCGACACAAAGTGCGTGTTAATTTCAAAATTCCCAATCCAATTTTCATTATAATAAAAATAATAAAAATAATCCAAAAAAAAAAAAAATCATAATTATACAAAAAAAATTTTTTTTTGCGATCTATCAATTATCCGAAACTTTATTCCCATCAAGCTTTTGACCTGAAAAATTTTCGTCTTATTTTGCATCCCCACAATTTAATACAATTTACGCGACACGACATTTGTTTTTTTTTTAAATTAAATAGATTGATCGTGATACATACAGTATGATATATTTTACTAAGTCTTATGATTTGTGAATTATAAGACGCTTTTAACGCTACAGTATTATCCTTTAAATTCTGTGTCATGTAGATCGGTAAATTTTAAAGACATATAAAAGTCTTTAAATTTATGTCGTGTCGTGTCAAGGTTTTCACTTTTCTGTCAATGATCGACAGCTGAAAAGTTTATTTTTGGCCAAAAAATTATTTAAAGTTTTGAATTTCGATATTAACTTTACTAACTTTTTTTTTTGGTTCCTTTTTTTTTTTTTAAAAAAAAAAAAATTAAAACTATCAGTGCGCAGAAACAAAATGCATTTACAAGAGTTTGGCTTTGAGGTTTTGGTAAATGATCAACCTTTACCAGAATATAATCTTCCAGTTGATGAGTCTGATGTAAGTTTTCTTATATACAGTACATTATAAACGAATTTCGGAAATGGTTTGAAATCTTTCACATTTCGGGAGGTATTATGTAACGTCACGTTTTGACGCGTTTTCCGACGTTCTCTGTGATATACTGCATTATTTTTACTAATTACAAATTACTATTTCGCATGATTGCATTACTAATAGTTAAATAAGACATGCGTTTCTTACGTCACGGATCCTTTAACACAAACAAAAAAATACAGGTAGGTTGCTTTTTAATATCGTAAATTTTTTTTCTAATAAAAAATTTAAATGGCTTTTCCCATCTTTTCATCTTTCCCTTGAAAGCGACGTTACAACATATTTTCCAGTCATAAACCAAGGAGAATGCTACAAGATTAGGATTGAAGCTAAACAAGCGAACCCGTCCAACATCATAATCTCTCGTTTATACATAGATGGACGATCGGATCCAACGCAACTATTTCATCAACGATCAAGTTCAAGAACAAGGTCGTTATCCACCAATTTCTTTAAATCTAGCAGAGCATCTTCTAAACGTCTTAAAGTGCAAAATAAAAATCAATATGGAAAGCATGGTTCCATTGCAATATGTTTTTTCAGGGGGGTTATCGTTGATGATAATTCATTACAAAATCAACCAGGATTAGCAGACAGAGGATCAGACAATAATGAGAATGAGGATTTTGATTATACAACCGAATTTGATGTCAAGGACGCAAATATTCAACCTGCAACTGTAGCAAAAATTGTTAACTTAAAACCTATAGCTGAGTTACATCTTCATTATCGTTCAGAGGATTGGCTGACTAATAGAGGATTTTCGTTACCAATTTTAAGTGATGTCAATGGAGAAAAGGAAGAGGATGTGAATTTAATTACTGATGAAGAAAATAAAGTTAATGAACTTCCAAAGCTATCTCAAGTGCTCACGAAAATTGAAAACAACAATGCGAAACAAATCGACGAACCTCTGGAAATTGAAGCAAATGGGAACGATGTTAATCCAAAAGTCAACAAAAATGCAAAGAATTCTCAAGAGCTCATGGAAATTGATAAATTAATCGCTAAAGAAACAAGGAGACTTAATGACATTTCCCAGGAAATTATGGAATTTGAAAGGAAGAAAAAGGAGGATCAGAATATATTGAAAAGAGCTCGTGATGAAATTGATGAGATTGATAAGATTTAATTAAATGCGTTTTAATGAAAATGAATGTAATAAAACGGTCTTAGAAATGATGAATCGTGATGAATAATCCTTATATTGTTATTGCTCGGTAGTTACTTAACATATGTTTTATTTCAAAGATTTATTTATAATTTTTTTTTTTAAAAATCGAAACATTCTGATATTTCAACAGAAATTCCGTTCATCCGAAGGTGTAAATAATTATGAAATGGTTATAAAAAAGTAAAAGTTTTCATAAAAGAATTTTTAATTCTATATAATAATTATCAATATATACAATGATAAATTCCTCTTACGTGTTGTAAACCATCATTACAAATCCTGAACCTAATCTTACAAAAAAGATTAGATATAATTTTATTATATAAAGTTTAGTTAGATAATATGAAACATTAATTTAATAGAACTGCAAGTCATTTTTCTCAAAGAATGTGTTCTCTTTAAGGATCAACTTTTTTTTATTACTATACATACCTTATATGATAAAAGGATAAGAGATTTTCAAAAATTATGAGATTTTGTTATATTATTATAATTAAAATAATATTTTATTTCTTAAATGATAAGGATTTTACATTTTTTAAATAAAACTTCTTTTTAATAATTATATAATTAAATATAATATGATTATTTTATAAATATTATAAAATAAATAGAGTATGTCTTAAGCTCAATAATCACAAAAAAAGCTTTAAAATTTTATTGGTTAATCATTATATAAGTGGAAAAAAATACATATAACCAAAAATTTTCACATTATATAAGCTTATATATTAATCAATATTCTCAAAATAAATTAAAAAAGAAAATTGAAATTTTTATTATATTTCAAAACAGTAAATTAAAAATAAATTAAATTCTTTTTTACGATTATATTAATTACAAAAAATTATATGTAAAGCTATATTATAAGAATTTTTTAATTAAATCAATTTTTAGACTTTCTAAAAATCTTATTTAATCTTTTTAATTTTTCTTCTTATTCATATAATTCATTTCTAAATTTTTTGATTCTATTTCTAAATTATTTATTTAAAGTAGTAATAATTAATAAATATTATAATAAAAATCAAACTTACTAATAATAAATTAATTTTGAGTATTATCTGATGTATTTTTATTTTTTAAAAAATAAAACTATTTTTGTTTTTATTGGATTATTTTTAAAAAACTGATAAATTCCTACAAAAAAAATATAAATATATTAAAAATTTTAAAATTAATAAAAAAATTAAAAATTAATTTATTATATTACTAATATAAATTTGATTGAATTAATTAATAATTTAAATTTAATGTATTTTTTATAAGATTTAATAAATTTTTATTCTGTACAATATTAAATAATTTATTTTTTATTCAATAGTGTTAAAATGAATAATCAATAACTAAAAATAATTTATTCAATTTTATTAATATTAATAATTATTAAATATTACATATTTTTAATTAAAATTTTTTTTAATATAATTAAAATAATATTTATATATAATATTTATTTAATTATTAATTTCTTTTGATTTTATATTATTCAAATCATCAATATTTTTGTTTTTAAAATAAAAAATTTATATAATTATTTCAATAATAATAAAAACTTTTCACTTTTTATTTTTAATAGAAAATTAATAGAAAATTAATTTCACAGAAAAGAAATTAAAGTTAACCTTTTTCAAAAAAAACAAAGTTAATTTTTTATAAGAAAAGAATAAAGTTAACCTTTCATAAAAAAAAAAATAAAATTAATCTTTTACAAAGAAAGGAATAAAACTAGCCTTTTATAAGAAAAAATAAAGTTAACCTTTTATAAAAAAAAAAAAATAAAGTTAGTCTTTATTAAAAAAGAAATAAAATGTTATATATTTTATAAAAAATTATTTTTATAAAAAATAATAGATTTTTATAAGTAAATATATTAAAAAATATATTTATTTATTTATTCTAAATTTTAGTTCAAAAAAATGGATGATAAAAAATTATTGTGAATATTAAATCAAACTAGTCAGAATATTCTGTTTAATATTCTTTAATTAACATAAATATAAAGATTTTAAATTATTGATATGGGTCGGTGCAAAAACATTTGTATCTCATCAAAAAAGTTAAAGATTTACGCCAAGAAAAATATGGTATGACTATAATAATAGTGGGCTGAAAATCTATTATAAGTTGCAATAAATCTGAATAAATCCTTTTCTCAAAAAAAATTTTAATAAAAAATGAACTTTTCTTTCATAAAATGGGCCAGAACACCGCTAACGAACAATGAAAAGTTGATGATAATTAATGTTCATCAGTACTTTTCGGGGTTAACTCTAAAATAGAGAGCTATCAGAAGTTCACATTACGCAAGCGGATTGCTGAAGCATTGGGAATAGCTGAAGGCACAGTTGGAAGCATAGTTTCAGACTGGAATAGCTGTGGTGACTCCACATTCACACCACACAAAACTCTTGGATGACCTAAATCACAACCTAACAAGGACATTTCAGAACTTTTGCGTACGAAAATTTTGAATGCAAATAAAACAGGTGGGCAACTTTCTACACCTATCCTA